CTTGCATTTGAACGCAGACAGGTGCAGGATCCTCCAGGTCCCTCCCCCTCCCCCCATAGCACAGAGACTGAGGGAGCCTCTGCTGCTGGTTGCTGCTGCCCAAGTGACTGCGGTGACGATAGCTAGCTTCTCGGTGTCTCGGATAAAGAATTGAATGAAGCACGCCATTATGAAAGGAAGAGGTAGCCTCTTAAGCACCGTGAAAGTATACTCCTGAGAGGAGGGAGCAGGCCTGAACAGGCAGAGGGAGAATGGTTCAAAAGGCCCCGGTAGTTGCATTCTGCAAAGTTTTGTTTTGTTCTTGAGAGATTTTTGCTGTAGGGCACATGCACTTGCCGGAGAGAGAAAGAAGAGAGAGAAAAAAAGCAAGAGGTCACCCCCCAGGGGTGATGGCCATGCTGCAGTCCCTTCTCCTCCTCCAGTCTCCTCTCTGGATGTTGGGCACGCACACCTCTGTGTGTGGCGTGAGTTTGAAGCCACCAGGCTTATAATTTTTAATCTAGGTCATGTTGGCTGGGTTTACTGATTGTTCTCATCTCATTGGCTCCATCAAATGTGGCTGGGCCCACCGATTCATCTCATTGGCTGTATTAAATGTGGCTGGGCCCACCGATTTATCTCATTGGCCATACTAAATGTGGCTGGACCCACCCATTCATCTCATTGGCTCTATCAAATGTGACTGAGCCCACTGATTGATCTCATTGACTAGAACAAATGTGACTTAATCAGCTAGACATTCCCCCTACTGAATATCTCCTGCCTACACTGGGTGGTGAATTTTCTACCCTGATCCTATTTTTCTGTTTAGCCATGTAGACGGATGCTCCAGTCCCCGTCCCTGCTTCCCTTTGCTAGTTTCTTCCTTACTCACTAGCTTTCCAACTTTGGGCAAGTCCTATGTAGTCCCTCTGAGACTGCTTCCTCATCTGTAAAAAATAGTTATTGATAGCCCCTTTGAAGATGGAGATAACTAGTCAACTTTCTTAACCCCGGCCAGTTCACAGAAGCACTCAGTGACAGGCCCTACTCAGAGAGGTTAAGTGACTTGCAGGAGTGCACACAGCCTTCAGGCTGCAGAGCTGGGGTCCAGCCCTTACCATGCCAGGGCCAGGGTTCTTTCTCCAATCTATTTCCCTCCAGCAGAGGCCCTGAGGCTCACTCAGAGGAATGGAATGTCTGACATTCGGCTGCCTCACCGACTCCCCCAGCAGCCCCTGAGGGATCTTGACTCATGCATTGGAAAATCAGTCCCCTCGACCTCATTGCCCCCAGCCCGCCAGCCTCCTCCCGAGTTCCACCAGATGTCTCAGCGTTCCCTGAACATACCTTGCCCTTCTCTGTGCCTTGGTACATACTGTTCCTTCATCTGGAATTCCCTCCCCATCTCCCTGCCCTCTTGGCCTTGAAAATTCCTTCAACTCCTGAATACTCTAGATCAAATGTCTCCCTGAGCCTATGAGTTTCTCTCGCTTCCTTATTTTTTCCTCCCCTAAAATAAAGCTGCCCCCTGTCGTCGCATGGGTTGTGCACTGCACAACTCCAGGGGGCACCATGCACACAGATCACCGGCACCTCCGCTACCCGCTACCCTCTCCTTGAATAGAGGCGTGATAAGATCTGTTTACAGCTCTAAATGTGGGTAGAGATAACCAAGTCACGGTTGATAAATATTGAAGAAGGACTGAATCTTACAAGATAGGGTAATAACACACAGCGTCTGTCTGTTAACTAACATCCAGAGCCTGACCTTCCAAGCCAGGCTAGTCCTCCCTCTAGACACATGCTCAGGTTTTTTTTTTTCTAGTAAAGTTACAGATCCTCTCCAGGGATTTCTTTCAGAGCCAGGTTCCAAGCCACACCAGTAACCCCTGTTCATTATTTTACAATCACAGGTCTTTTCTCATCCAAAGTGATCCCAGCCAGCTCCATCTCCTACTTTATTCATCAGATCCGGCTCCATTTAACTTTGGGCTGTGTCCAAATATCAACTCCACTCTCCAAGAATGAGGGCCTGGCTCGGAGGGCTAATCTGAGGCTGACTCCCATAATGTGTTGTGTGATGACAGGCTGGCTGGCCAAGGGGCTGTCCTCCCCAGGGGCCATCCTTGAAGGACCCCACGTCTTTGGGGAGATATATATATGGGTGTATATCTATATATTCTGCCACGTAGGTTTGCAAAACAATTCCCTGTTAATTCCATAGTTGTGCTTGTAGAGAACTATTGTAACATGGACTGGGCATTCCACTGGGACTACATTCTTAAGATGTTTCACAATAAAAAAGGTCTTAATCCTTGCAAGTAATTCTCCCTCCTCTTTTTTCTTTTTTGTTTCAATTTGCCAGAGGGCATGTGCACTTGCCAGAGAGAGAGAGGGATATAGACAGAGAGAGACAGAGACAGAGACAGAGGGGGAGGGGAAATGAGAGGAAAACGCTCCTTATTTTCGAGATACAAAAACTGAGAGGGGACCGGGACCAGCAGTTGGCGTAATGACTATGTCGCTGGACTCCCATGTAGTCGACCACGATTCGCGTCCCGGATCCAGTGGCTTAAACTCACACCGGGTGCGTGTGCGTGCGTGCCCAAGATCCTGAGAGGAGAACGGAGGAGAAGGGATTGTGGCATGGCCATCTCCTCTAGGGGGTGATTTCTCGCTTTCTGTCTCTCTGTCTCTGTCTGTCTGGCGAGTGCACAAGCCCTGTAACAAAAACCTCTCCAAAAAAAAAAAAGACAAAAAAAAAAAAAACTGAGGGGGGAACCAAAA